GCCTCCTTCAATTTCCCCGGTATCTGGATTCCAGCTCCAGAAGAATCTAAAGACCCACTTCACTGGGGAGGAAAAAAAACAAGGCAGGGGGCTGTGTTAACCATCTTCCTCTTCACCCAGGAGTCACAGGCGCCACCATCTCTGACCCCAGCATCTGCGGGCCTCCAGCTCCCTCCCTCTTGGGACACAAGCAACTGGCCCGGAAATCCTGACCTCACCCCTCCTCCCCCAGAACCCAGGCGTCCAGGCTCCCAGGACCCAGGAGTCAGGCTGCCTGGGCTGTGGGCAGAGGGGAAGCCGCTCCCTCCACACACATCAGGTCAGACAGGTCCAGCCTGCCCAGCCGAAAGCAGGAGGGACTTTCACTCTGTTCCCTCCTTTCCCTCTCTCCCTTCAGGGGGCGGTCTAACCGGTTCTGAGAAGGGATAATAACCAGTTGGTCGGACTATGTCCAAAGCCTGGGACTAGGGCCTTGGACTCTCAGGAGAGGAGAGGACTGAGGCCCTGGGTCTTGGCAGAGGACGCAACTGCGTGCCTGTACCCTTGGGGCTTTGAACAAAGACATCCCAATTCCAGCACACCAAGACTAGATAGGAAGATGTTTATAAGGGGTCAGACCAGTCTTGGGTCCCAAATCAACATAGGAGCCCAAACCCAAAATCTACTCAGGAGATGCAACATAAGGGTGTTGGGGTGGAGCTGCTTAGAACCTCCAGTTCACTGAGAAGGAAACAAAACAAAGCAAGGCCAGGCACAGAATCTAGAAAGCCACAGACATGAAGACACAGTCCCGGGCAGAAAGGAGATATGCTCCCACACATACAGTGTGCTTTGGGGGAGACCACCGTAGAAGGCCAAGTACAGGGGGCACATTCTGGAATGCAGACCTGGAGCCTTGAGCCATACAAGAGCAATCCCATAGGTGGGTCACCCAGAACCCCAAACAGAGGGGAGCATAATGATATCAAAGAAGACACCCAGGCAATGCGTAGCAACCCTAGTCAGGAGACACAGTCTGGAACTCAGGACCTAGCCCGGGTAAAGGCATAACCCAGAATATAGCAGGGGTCACATTTCTGGCTGTATCCCGTGCCCCCACGATGCTAGAACTTAGCACGGGATAGGTTCTAGATTTCAAAACACGCCCTGGAGGTGAAGAAAAACCTAGAAAGTAGCAAGGAGTTTGCCTGTAACTCAGAAGTGCCTGGGGGAAGAGGCAGAAGGATGCATGCTGGGAGTTGAGAATTTACTGGCATAAGGACTGAGCTGGCACAGGGGGTGGGGTGTTCTGGAAATGAGAACATATCTAGGCTGAAGACTCCAGAAGAGGAGAGAGCCTAGAATATGCTCAGAATGCTGAAGTGGCAGATGGAGAAAGAGCCCACAATCTACCAGGAGACAGTTTCTAAACCAAGGTCATGCTGAGGAAAAGAATGCCAGAGAAGGTGGGAATGGATGGGTGTAGAATGTAGAATCCAAGGAAGGAAGATGCAGCATAGAGCGCAACAGCTTCTCTAGATTTGAGACTGCCAGAGCGATGGAACTCCAAACAGGGAAGTACATTCTAGAACTGATAACACAGTTTGGAGAAAGGCTAGAGCAAATCACTACAATCCACACATTTTAGAACTTAGAATACTGAAAGAGAATGAAATCTAGAACAATACCAAGGAGGTGGCTAGAACCTGGAATGCATGTAAAATGTCTAGTAGAGGCCCTCCCTGGTGGCGCAGCGGGTTAAAGCACAGCACTGAGAATCTAAAGCCGCTTCCGCATGAGTTCGATTCCCGCCTGCCCCGGAGGTGACCACATGGCGCGGCAGACCTCTCCTGACCCGCCCGCTGCTCCCCTCAGCAGTGTACTTCATCGATCGGCCTGTTCTACTCCCCACTCTGTCTCTGGTGAAGCCTCTCGCCGCCCCTGAGTCTCTGGCCTGTACCCCAGTTCTGTATGCACAAATAAATAAATCTTAAAAAAAAAATGTCTAGCAGAGAATAAGCAAAGAATTTTTTAAAAATTTGAAACCTATCTGAAGAGATGGTGGGCTCGGGATTTGGCTTAGGGGGTACTATCTGGATATTTGAATTTACCTGGGTTTGAAAAGACATGCCTAGGATTTAGCATCTAACTGAAATTTTAAAATATGCCTTCTATGGAGATGTAGACTGGGAGCATTCTGGTTTTAGAAAGAATCCAGAACATGGAGCAATGTAAGAGTACATGCTTAACTGGAAGTCAGGAAGAAACTGAGTAGGTTCCAGATCACCTAGTGAGCATGGCACATCTGGAGGAAGCCATATGCATCTGGCTCGTCGCCTGGGAGAGTATACTCAGAGGCTGGGGCACTCTATGAGCCTCAAGAGGCAGTGGGTACTGGAAACATCTCACAAAGCTGGGTCTCAGGGGAGAAGAGAGAAGAGTCCCCGAAAGCCCAGCACCTAAGGTGACATGGGGAGGAAGCAGAGGTTTGTCAAGTCCACCAAGCCAAGGGTTTTGTGGGCATCTGGATCCCAAAAAATAAGAATAGAGGCGCTGTACCTGGGGGGTAGTTCTGAGGGCCTGGACGCCTGAATCTTTGTGGAGGTAAAGAACCAGGTAGACATCTGTAAAGGCCACAGTGGGCAGTTCAGTAGCTGGGGTCTGAACTCTGGGGTCCCTGGGAGGGTGCAGGATGGAGTCAAGGCATGTATGTGCCCAAGGGGAAGGGTGGGCAGAAGCCCAAGAATTGCACTGGGAGCTGCATTCTGAGTTCCTGAAAGGAAAGAGTCATGGCGTCTGAATCTTTAAGGGGGCAGCTGCTGGGGTGCGGGGAAGCTGGGTATATTTGTCTAGGGGGCCAAAGGGGTGATCAACGGACTCTCTAAAAGGTCCCCAAAGCTGGGGAATTCGATTTCCAGGTCTTGAGGGGTGAAGACTTCCAGTTGGGCCCTTTCGCCAGACAGGACGAGCACTAACAGGGGAAGCTGGATCCCCCAAGCCAAGGTCCCTGAGGTGGACCGGCAGGAATATTTGGAAGCCCTGCCTCCTCTCCAAGAGAGGAGAGCCAGGGAGCCTCGGTTGTAAGAGGCTGAGACCCGGATCCGAGGCCAGCAGAACCCAGAGGCCCCGGGTACCTGGGTCGGGGAGGGCCCGGGTATTCCCGGGTCAAAGGCGCGGCGGTGGAGGAGGGGGATCCCCGCGCCACCGGCGCCCCCTCCCCCGGCGAAGGCGGCAGAGGTGGGGGAGGCGAGGCTACCGAGTGTTCTGACCATGGACAGCTCCAGAGCGGGCCTGTGTCCAAAGCTGCCGCCGAGCCGGCCTGGACGATGGCTGGCCGTCCAAGCCGGAGGGCAGGAGCCGGGCAGGCAGGGTGCGCGATTGGGGGGCGGCAAGCCCTCGCTGGGGGAGTCCGACCCAGCTGCAGCGGGTATCGGGAGCTCCCGGGACTGGGTGGAGGAGGAGGATCTAGGTCCAGAGAGGGTCCCCAGGGCGGTGTTGGGAAATCCAAGCTGCTGGGCCCTATAGGAAGCTCAGGGCGGCAGTAGCCTGGGCTTCTGGGGTTTGGCTGGGGACTCAAAGCCGGAGGGACACGCCGGGACTCTGGGGTCGGGCTATGAAATCTGGGCACTGGGATTCTTAGGGATGAAGAAGGGAATCGAGGGTTCAGCGAGGCGGGGGAAGCTCGGCGAGGGGTCCCCGGGGTGGGCGCTGCCAGGCGGGCCTGGCCGGGCTCTTACCTACCTGGTCCGCGGCGGCTGCGGGCGGAGCTGGGCTGCAGGAGGGAAGTGGGGTGGGGTGGGGGGACCGGGCGGGGCCCCTGGCGGCCGCCGGGGCCCAGATCTGAGGTTCCGGAGCCCTGTCTCAGCTGCTCGCGCGGGCTCCGCGTCTCTTGCTCCGGCTTGGGCGCTGGGGACCCCCCTCCCCCTCACGGTCTCACAGCGCTCTACCCCCTAAAATAGCCCCCTGCCCCTGTCACCGTTTAGTCTCCCCCCCGCGAGGCCGCAACAGCCAGATCCAGGGGTGCCCACCAGCGCCCCCCAAATCCCACTTTCCCCCCCAAAAATATTCCTCCTCCCTCCCCCCCAGCCGTGGGGCAGTCGTGGCCCCTTTAACAGAAGACTGACAGACGGCGCTGAGTGGCCAATGGGAGGCGGTGTCCGTGCCGGCCGGCGACTAAACCCCGCCTCCGCACGGGCCGGGAGGGGTAGCGCGGGCGGAGAGCGAGAGGCGGGGTTCGAGGAACGTCAACCAATAGTCGCGCGGCGTGCGGCGGCTGGGGCGGGAGGCGGAGCCCGCCAGGGGGATGATGTCACCTGGAGCGAGTGGCGCGCGGCGTGGAACGCAAGTCGCGACCCCGGGTCCCGGCGGCAGCGCGCGGCAGCCCTCGTGCCGCGCGGGACTAGAAGGGCTGGGTAGGTGGCGGGTGGGAGTAGAGGTTGATCTTAAACCGGGGGCGTCCCCGGGACGGACGCACTTGGGTGGGAAGGTGGGGCGAGGGCCGGGTCGGCGAGGGCACTTGAGTCTGCACCCCGCGCGCCCGCCTCGGGAACTGCACGCGGCGCGCCCACCCCCGCCTCCCACGCTGCCGATAGTACGGCCTGCAGGGCTCCCCCGGCGGACCGGCTGATGGTTCGCTCCGCTCCGCCCCGCCCCGCCCACACACTGCCGCCCACTGTCGGCTGCTACTTTCAGGATTCCCGGGTCCCACCGGCTCCCCAGGGAGGGCTTGGCCTGTGCGCCCAAGTTCCCTGACGCGTCGGGGGCGTCGTCCTCAGTCTTGCCCCCACGCCCAGCCACTCCGCTCCCCCACCCCTGCCCCTCGCACACCCAGCCCCGCCCCAGCCCCAGGACTTCTCCCTCGGAAGCCGGGAGCGCCACCGGCCCACCGGGAGAAGTCTCCGCTCTCCGACTCTGAAAACGACTTCAGGGCCTGGCTCGACCTCAGTTTCTGCGTTGTCCCTCCTCCCGCGGCCCAGAACTCTCTTAACCCCAGGACGCGGACAGACACACAGACACTCAAGGAGGGTGAAAGATCTTTAAATAAGGAGCCGGTGACAATAAATACTGTACAGGGGAGGGGTTCAGGGTGAGGGTCCAGAGCTATGGTTTCAGCCTCGAGACTCCAAGGACCTGCAAGGAGGACAGACAGGAGTCAAGTCAGGGGAGGCGACTGCAGAGCCAGGACCTGGATCCCAGAGCCAAAGGCCCCAGGGCAGGGCGCTGTGGGGGCCCAGGGAGTAGGCTCCAAATCATGGGACGGGAGTTAGGAGTGCCCCCCCAAATAAAACCCCGAGATATACCCAGAATGGCTTGGAGTCAGTGGCCAAGGGTGAGAATCCCAGGGAAGAGGAGCCAGGGCAGTGGGCGGCGCGGCTGGGAGTGTGGCAGGGCAGGCGGGGCAGCCTGGAGTGGCAAAGGGCTCACGAGTAGCTCTGCTGCTGCTGGCGCCGGCGGGCGGAGCGCATCTTCTCAAAGCGGGCCTCCATCTCCTCCAGCACGCGCGGTGTGTATCGCACCACCAGCTTCACCGAGCCCTGGGCCGCCTTCAGCAGCTCCACGGCCTTCTCATGCTGCTCGCCCTCAACACTCTGCAGGGTGGTGCACAGGCAGCTGGGCCGGGCGTCGGGGCCCAGCCTCGAGCCCCGCGTGACACCAAACATTGCTCAGCCTCAGCATGCTCAGGCCTCTGTCCTCCTGGGAGTCAGTAACTCTCTGTCTCACATCAGCCTCCTCCCTGGCCTTCGGGCACCCCACACAGAGCCCCAAAGGGGTCTTGCAATACCTTGGGCTGAGCCTCCCCTCTCCTAGCCATCGCCCTCCATGGTTCCCCAGAACCCTTAAGACAAAGTCCAAGTTTCTGGCGCCATCACATACCCACTTATGCCCGCATCTTCGCTAACGACAGTGATTTTAATGAACTCCCCTGGGGCCAAGCTCATTCTCTTCTGCTAAGAGAAATGCTGTCGCAGGTCCCACCCGCGAACATCTCGCCCTCCCAATCCCAGCCAGTAACACCCTTGTCCACCACAGGTTCCTGGAGAACTCCTATTCACCCTTCAAAATCCAACACAGATGTTCCTCCCTCTGCGAGAACATCCTTCATCGACACCGGTCTGGTGCCACATCTGGGTTCTTTCAATTCTTCGTGCTTTCTCACCATGCTTTGATTTTTTTCTTTCACCAGAAAGGAGAGTCTTTGAGGGTAGTCTGCTGAGGTCAAATATTCTCAGGGATTGCAACAGTGCCAGACACAGGGCTGGCCATAGAGGCTCAGGCATCTGTAGAATAAATGTCAAAAACTGCAACCTCAGCGCGCTTCAGCCTGCCACTTACCACACCATTCACTGACAGCAGCTGATCCCCACGCTTGAGGCCTCCATGGCGATCAGCCACGCCTCCAGGAATGACACGGGAGATGTAGATGGGCGAGTTCTGCTCCTTGCCCCCCATAATGTTGAAGCCCAGGCCTTCATCCGTCTTCGGCAGCTCCACTACCCTGGGATGTGCGTGGCCCTCACTGGCGGTGAAGGCGGCAACAGTGGCCTAGGAGAGAAGCATGGGGCATGAGCAGCCCTCCGGTGGTCGTGCAGGTGCAGTGCAGGTCTGGGCCAGACAGGGCTTCGAGGCAGATGCTGCTGGACACACTGGGCTCCTGGCACGGCCCCTCACAAGGTCCCTCTGTCATGAGGGACATTCACGTTGAATGTTTCTGACAGACCAAAGAAAAGTCTCCATTTGATGCAAAGGAATCTTTAAGACTCAACACCTGCCAATGTCAGTTTCTAAAGAGGGGGTAAAAGTCATGGAAGAGTCCAGAAGAGAAAAAGAAGTAGTATCTAGATGTAGTTTAATATGATATCAGTGTTTAATACTGTCTCCTTGTGTAGAGGTCTGGGGTGAGCTTCCCTAGGGCATGGGGTCCTCGCTTCCATTTGGAATAATTCAAAGATGCCTTTCTATGACATTTCCATCTAAAATGAGTGTCCGGTAAGGTGGCGGCAAAGATCATGAAGGAGGAAGCAGGGCTGGCATTAGGAAGACGCTGGGTTAGCCCCTACAGCTCCGGGGGTACCACGCGCACGGGGGTCTGCGGCTCCTACCTTGGCTGTGGCGTGGGCCCGGATCTCAGCGCTGCCAGTGATGTCCAGGGTGTCATACAGCTGTTCGTACACCTGGGAAGGGCGCAGCAGCTCAGAGAATCTGCGGTCCAGGACACCAGACCCTCCCAGCCACGGATTCACCCTGCCCTCGCCCGCGGAGCCCGAGAAACTACAGCTCCCAAGGGCCCGCCGGCGAGCAGGCACCCCACGGCGAGCCGCCCCAGGCGCTGCTGGGAGGCGCAGTCCCCGCGCTCGGGCGGCCGGGACGAGAA